CGTTGAGATTCTGGCGGCCATTCATTTGATGCAACGCTTGTATCACCCGATGGTTGGCGTCGCCGCACGTGTGGCCCGACTGGTGGTCCTCCTCTTCGTCGTCGTCGTTGGCGTCGATGTCATCGTCCGAGTCGTGAGTGCGGAGAAAGCCGTCGCCTTTGAAGGCGGTGTCGATCTCGTGGTCGGAACAGTCGTCGGCCGTCACGTCTCGGCGACACTCTTCGGAGGAGTCGGTGGCGGCCACTACTGGTGCGGTCACCGCTGGTGTCGAGTGGCGGCCGTCGCCGCAGGTGTGGCCGTCGGGAGCGCTGAGCGGTGGACACGGTTTGGGCGCACAGTCTTGGGTGGCGTACAGGGAGTGCGACGACGCGTCACATGACGTGCCGTCCATTGGATCCGATGTTAAGCTCGCGATCTAAAGGGGAAACCAATGCTTAAGCGAAGACACAAATCACTGCTGATATGACTAATGGCTGTCAACTCAACGATCGAACCGATGACTCACTCTCTCGTCGACCAAACGATTCAACTGTTGTTTCGGAGTTTGAATTTCACGCTCTGTTCGCGTCATTCCATTCTTGAGTTCACTTTTCTTGAGTTTGACTTTCATTTGGAGAACGCATTCAAAGCGCGCTCTCATTGGACAACACCTAAGGGTTGAATGGATTACGTGTTCACGCGTTCGGACTCTGAGTGAAAGCCATGACTGAAGCCATGGATTAATTGGCGTTAAATTGCGATCAAATGAACGCCTGATTCGCTGAATGCCAGACATTATTGCTGTCGTACAGAATGTGGACGTAATGTATGGACACATGTATTGAATGCATGTTTACTTTGACTATTGTTTTGATTACAATTGGATTCGCATTGAGTTATGGATTGAATCAAAACCATGTTTTTGGCCACAAATCATATGATTGTGAATCAGTTTCGGACACAAACTCTGTTGAGACAGAGATTGCAGTCATTGAACGGTAACGGAGGACAAGCGCTGAGACAACGGTTGGCCACTAATGGCGGACGCGATGGTCGGTCGGTATGGGATCAGCTGAGGGATGAGCTGAACGCCAAAGTGATACTCTTTGTGACACTTCTGAGACAACAGTCAAATGTTTACATGAGTTTACGGCTGCGACGGATGGCACAGATCTGTGGCCTCTATAACAGGATTTACAGCGAATCGACGGTCAATAAACTCATGTCACAAATGCTGATCCGTCTGAAGGCTCGAGCGCTGCAGTCGTTGCGCAACCGCTTGAGTGGCGACAAGAAGGCCAACGACTCGATCAAGTGTCTCATGTCTGCCGTTTGCGGGCTCTTCTGTTGGGACAGTCAGCGCATCACTGATGGAGACCTCAGGCAAACCATACGTGACTTTGAAATCGTGCAGAGAGTCGGCGCCAGTAATCGGATCCCAAACAATGACAATATGCCGAAGAGTACCTCGTTTTCAGTGTCCGCAGAGACGCACAGTATGAATGATAACGACGGCCAATGGGAGGCCGTTATTATGAGGGATGACTTCAAACTGTGGCGCAAAGCGGTTCCCAACACTTCTCTCTATCAATACAAAGGTTTGCGCATTCAATGAGCGCTCATTTTATGGCATATGTTATGAAATAATGCATTTTGTATACAGTTTTTGGTACATTCAATGACATCCCGGCCAGAAGTTTCTTCAGAGTACAAATGGACACCGAATACCGTAAGAAATGGGATAAACTGGTGATCAAACTCGATATCATTGAAAAGGAGCCCTTTTTTGCCGATAAAGACCAACAGAGTTGTGAAGATTCCGGGAATCAAGTCCTGCATTGGATTATGAAATACCCGG